TTTAAATAATTAAAGACATTAATACAGAACAAAATGGCTCCTGAAAATTTTATTGGCATTTTTTATATCTCTAGGAGTAGTTTTAAAACTATTTGTTGCTACTCTGTTACAACTTTCTAGACGATCCAAATCAATTCTCCTTTTTTAATGTTATTTATTAAAAACATAAAATATTCCCCTTAAAAGTCTACTGTCATGTCTATATTAAAGTATTTTTATTATAGTCATGCTATTTTAAAAAAGAGAAAAAAGAAAATAATCTACATCCTAATAACAGGGATTTGGTTGCATGAATTATTGGTTATCTAAATTTTGTAACCATTAGAACTTTTTGCAAAAGATACTTAAGAACATGGTAAATATTCATGCTATATGGGACAAAAGGACATAACCTATATTCAATGTAAACTTGAACTTGTAAAACAAAAACATACGTATGTGGAAATATCAAAAGGAAAAGTAGAAATGATAGCAATGACTCTGAAGGAAAAGACCACAGATGATTTTTATTTTTAGATTTACGTGTATGTTTTTATGATGAACAAGAAATATTTTTAAAATTCTAAGTAAGGAACAGTGGTTCAACAGCTTCTTCATTCAGCATATAGAAGAAAGTACATTTTTTTAATTGCAAGTAAATAATGCCCCAAGGAAAGAGCTACCTAAAAAGTGTGCTGCTCCCAAACATTGAATGTGTAACTATTTACTGAGTATGGTGCCAGATGGGAAGGATACCTAGATCGAAAAGACTCAGTTCAGACCTTTGAGAGCTCTCAAACCAATAAAAAATACACAATTGATAACATGTAATATTTTGGGAAAGCCCTATACCTCTGTAGAGATGTCATTTTCCATGGAGGATAAATAATCACTCAACACAATACTCTGCTGTGTTGGGCTGGGAAACCACACACCATGAAGACCCAGAATCATATCTGCTGCATAGAACATATTCTACCCCAAAGCCTCTTTCTTACCAATGTGTCAGCCTGTCCTGGATTTGACTGCTGATATTCATTCTTTTATTTGGTCTGTTTAAATCTGATGTCTGCTATGTTATCTCAGGACTAAGTAGAGATTATACTTTCTTCTGTCTTACTTACAAGAGTAGGTTTTATCCGACAACTGGTATTTGGCTTGCTCATCTATCTGCTTTCTTCAAACTCTCCACAGATAGCTTACAAAGCCATCATCCTGCTACATGGATACATATTGTAACACTCAAGTCCAGAATTGGAAAGTTAAAAAAAAAAAAAAAATCACCTCTGGTCACACAAGGAGTCTGCTCTTCATGTGTGCCTGGCAGAATCCAGCTCTGGTGAATTCTAGTTTCACTGATCCCTTGTGAATTCTCACAAAGATCATGCTTTCCAATCTACAAGAGAACTTACAGATTCGTATTCCAAACAGCTCTTATTTTACAGGTAACAAAATTAAGGACTGTGATGATTAAACGACTTAACCAAGGTCATACAACTTGTAATTTTCTAAGCTAAAGTTAGAAAACAGGTTTCTTGGAAGAAAGGCTAGCAGGCTCTGCACCGTTCTGTCTGTCTAGATATCCTGTTATGCCGACTTTACATTATCTCCTGTGGGAATTTTCCACACCTGATCCAGCCTATCTCTCCAGTTTCCTTAGAGTTTAAAATAGTTCAGTTGCCAGACAACTGTTTATCTACTTAGAGCCCCATGGAATGAGGACTGGGGTGAAAGCGAGTCTTAGAGAACCAGAATAGATTCCAGTGAGTAAAACTCATTTCCCTTGAGTTTTGAAGGCCCCAGGAGCAATCAGTAACTTCACTTAGCTTTTTAATAACAGGCAGATAGAGAAGAGAAGGCCCAGCTACAGGATTAGAAATGATAAGAAATTGGAGTTAAGGAAACTTGTCTAAAAGGAACATGTAGAAACCGTCTTATTCTGTCATCACAATACAGGTATCATCAGTTTTTGAAACAGATCTGCCTCAGTGAGATGCTTTTAAAAAGGTATCTTATAAATGAAAATAATATTAAAATACAGCATGTGAGGCAGTCTAGTCAAATAACTAAAAGCATAAACTCTAGAGTTGGACAGTAAGTATTCTTTGTGAACATGAGATCGCACTGGTTGTGTGATCCTGGATAAGCTACATAACCTCTTGGGGTCTGTTGTTCTCATCTAAGGACAAAAAAAAAAAAGAAAAAAAAAACTAAACTAAACCTTTTGAGGACAGTCAGGAGGCTTAAAAAGGAGGACTTAAGTTGCTGCCTAAGGACAATTAGCACTGAAGCACTTAAGGAAGGAAAGTGAAACAAACTACTAACACTATAGAGCCCAGGCTGAGAGTCTCCCTAATACCTTATGAAACTCGATCACCTGATGGTGCAGCCTTAGAGAGCTCACAACTGGCTAACCCAGTGATATTTCCAGAATGGTGCGGTGAATAACTCAGAAGATCTCCTCAACAAAACATTTAGTAGTAAAAAAAGATTTGAAAAAAATAATTGAAAGCTCTCAAAACTGTCCTTAGGGCATACAACAGGTTAAAAAAAACCTTCATTCAAAAAACATCTACAAAGTCTTGGTAAAAACAGTAGGAATCTGTGGCATTTGGGCCCTGACTTGCTTTCTTCTCCCTCCACCAGCTCTATGTCATTGAAATGGGTGCCCTATTCCAGGAAAGTGTATCCAAGAATATAAGGACTCCCTCTCCCCCAGTTCAGTTTAGAGCTATAATTTTACCTTTGAAAAGGTAGGCTGCCAGTATTCTTCGTTCCTCCAATCCCATTCCCCTATTTTAGGCAGGCACGGCCAGGAGGACTAAGGCCCCATTCCTCTACCTATCCCCTATACATAGAGTAGAAACTCTACCCCAAGTGTAACCAGCGAGAATACTGGGACCCTGGTCACCCCTTTCTCAGCCCAGTCATAGGTAATGGTCCTATACCAAGAACTAGGCAAGAAGACCAGAAGCTATCACCCACCCTTCCTAGCTGAGGGGTCCCTCTATTACTGTGCGTAGCTCCTGTGCAGTAGCACAGAAGTTCTCTCAGGGGAGGAAGCAAACCACAAGGATGAAGAGCTCCGCAGTTCTTATGATATTAGTGACATTATTTGGAGCAGAGCATGGAGAATTCAACATCTAGGAGTGTTGTTGAAAATAATGGAGAGTTTGGTAGAGAGCAATTAAGGGGGTAATGGTAGCTTCACTATACTGCTAGCAACAAGCAAAATGGCAGAACAACCAGACCTTTAATATAAAGAGCCAAGGAAAGAATCAAGAAGGGCCCTCTTGGGATGCCAGTAGACCCTGAGGTTGGAAGGCTATACACATGTCCAAGGCTGTACCTGCTCTGGAACAATACGAATAAGACATGGGTCAGACTTGAAAACTTTACCCAACTGCACCTAGATCCATCAACAAAGGGCAGAAGTGTCACTGGTTTAAGAGGCTCAAGTACAACCTTGGACCAAACACTGGCTGAAAATATGTTAGTTTGAACTCAGATAAAACACTATCAAGCCAAGATTAAAAATAAAATCACACATATGTTAGCAATCTGGAAAATGCTGGGCATGCCCAAGGCTGCACTTATTCAGAAGTGATTAGAGAGGAAATTTCCAATGCACTAGGCCTTGGAGGAATTAGGGGAAAAAACAAGTTCCTTAAGTTATAATAACAGACTCCAAGCCACACAAACATCCAATGGTAAAGATTAAAAATATAACTGGCTAAGGGGACCTAAGCATAACCTTTGACCCATAAGTGGCTCATGCAAACCTAGGGGTGACTCTCAGGGATTAAGGCTAAAAGAAAAAAAGAAAAGGAAAATAAAATCATTCTGAACAGGGTCATCAGAAGCTGCACACTGTGGGAGAAACAGACTACACAGAGTCAGTACAGCCAAGTTATTAAACAAACAACCAAACAAAAGACAAAAATAACAGCAGTATCCACTCAACCCACAATGGTATGGGAGAAAGAGACAGAAGAATCAGTACTCTAGGTTGCTATATTGTTTTAAGGGTTCAACTTTTATTTGAAAAGAAATTATAAGATATGAAAAGAAACAAGAAAGTATAATCCATACACAAGAAAAAAAAAAAAAAGGGCCAGCACTAGAAAACTGCCTGAGGAGGTCCGTATGTAGAACACAGCAAAGACCTCAAAGATGCTATTATAAAACTATTCAAGGAACTAAAGGAAGCCATACTTACAGAATTAAAAGAAGGTCTGATGACAAGGTCTCATCAAATAGAGAATATAACATATGGAGAATAACAAATGTCAGTCAAGAATTTTGTATTCTGCATAACTACATAAACAATGGAGAAATAAAGATTTTTCAGACAAACTAACACTGAGGGAATTTGTCACTAATACAGGAAATGCTCAGAAATACATTTACATGGAACAAATATGATAGATACGCACCAGTGCAAAAATACCTAAAAGTTAAAGCTCATGGCTCTTCTAAAGCACTAGCCCACGAGGGAAAACCAAACAGCAAGGTATCACCCAATATTATGAACAGAACAGCATCCCACATATCGGCATTAACACTCAATATAAACAGTCCAAATGCCCCACTTAAAAGACACAGGTTGAGTGGATGAGAAAACACGACTGAAGTGTTTTCTATCTCCAAAAAATACCCCTAATCCACAAGGACTCACACAGACTCAAGACCAAGCAATGGAAAAAAAATATTCCATGCAAATAAAAACCAAAGCAAGCAGATGTAGCTATTCTCATATCAGACAAAATAGACTTTAAATCCACAATGGTAAAAAAGTAATCCTACACAATCAGTTTTCTTTCAGAAAAGAAATAGAGGTAAAGATGGAAGGAAGAAAGAAAAAAAGTGTGAGATTAGAAAACTTATGCCAATCAATAGGAAATTATTACATTTTCCTTCTATTACCAAAATTTTAATATGAGTCATGCATATCATAATCAGCTATGCCACGTGACATTAGTTTTATAAAATATACAGTAAACTGAGAAGATTAATAGTACCTTCCGCAGGAGTCCCAATGCTGGAACCAAGACCTAAAATAGCCATCTTGTAAAGTCTCGGCTTCACCATCATAGCGGATTCTTCTCCCCTTTCCCAGTGGGGTACTTTGACCGGTTCCAGGTGGACATTCTCTAGCCCACTATCCTTCAAGGATTGGTACGTGAGTTGTATGGCTTCTTCTAGGTTCTTGGAACCACTCAGTCTGGGTCCAACAGTGTCGACCAGATGTGCCAATCGTTCATAGGATCTGTTCTGAGCTCTGCCATAAACAGCAAGGTTGATGATTGCTTTAGCAACATCTGTATAGCCGGCTATTTCTTCTTGTATTTCTTTAAAAGTCTTTTGAGGGGTGCTAGCCTTGTGTATAGCTTTCCCAGAGCCCAGGGATAATAGGTGAACAACACCAACAAATGTGAAGATAAGGAGCTTCATTTTTTTCCTGGTTGGTTTTCTTCCTAAAATAATCTGTGTAAGTAAGAAACATGTTTTAGGAAAAAACAATCTCATAGCTATCTTCCCGTAACTCAGGGATTGATTTTCTTTTTTTTTTTTTTTTTTTTGAGACAGAGCCTCAAGCTGTCCCCCTGGGTAGAGTGCTGTGGCATTACAGCTCACAGCAACCTCCAACTCCTGGGCTCAAGCGAGTCTCCTGCCTCCGCCTCCCAAGTAGCTGGGACCACAGGCGCCCGCCACAACGCCCGGCTATTTTTTGGTTGCAGCCGTCATTGTTGTTTGGCGGGTCCGGGCTGGGGATTCGAACCCGCCACCTTAGGTGTACGTGGCTGGCGCCTTAGCCGGTTGAGCTATAGGTGCCGAGCCTAGGGATTGATTTTCAAGCAGTATTCCCTTTCCCTTCCCAACCATTGCCCAACTCCATCTTCAGATTCACCATCAAATAACTCCCAGCAATGGACAAGCAAAGAGTCAGTGAGGGCTCTTAATAATAAGGCAGCAATTATTAATACCATGGAATCATAATCACGTTACCTAATTTAATTTGGTTCCAAATATGTTAAAAGGTTAAAATAAAAAGAGAACTGGAAAAGGGAGAAAGAAGTAGCAGTGATATGGCTAAGACAGTTTTATCTGTTGTGCCACCCCCACGTGGAGTGTATTCCCAATGGGTGGAATGCTCCTTCATCCTGATGTGTTCTTTCTTCATTGCCCATCCAACTCATCCTTTGAGGCCCTCTCAGATACCATCTTTCCTTGATACTTGCTCTAATCCTTCCTCTACTAAAAATAACTACTTCTTCATCTGTGCTTGAAGAATGGTTTATTCTTAGGTTCAAAAGATATTTATTGTATGCTTGGAGGTGTGGTATGTTTTTAGAAGGAAGAAATCTAAGCTACTACACAAAGCAGAGAATTAAAAGAGATTGAGCTTTGTTACCGTTTAATCGTATTATACCCATCACCTAAAAACAACAATAATGATGATAACAATAACAGGAAACATTTATAAGTGCTTGCTCCATGTCAAACTTTGTTCTGTATACAGTCCATTCGCTAACCTATTTAATCCTCACAACAACTTTATAAGATAGTTTCTCATTACCTTTATTTGTACAAATGAGGAAACTAGGCCACTGAGAGATTAAATAATTTGCTGAAGACATACAAAAGCTTTCTACCCCTCTAGAGTCCAGCCTCCAAACACGGCTACTCAAAATATGGATTGCGGACAGACGTCAGTCCACAAACTGTTTTTTACTAATCCACAAGAGGTAAATACAGAGATTAAAAGCAAATGCATCCAATGGGCTTGTTTAGTTATTTCAGTTTAAATTAACTATGACTTTTAAGTTAAAGATTCAGTTTTTTAGTCACATTAGCCATAGTTCAAATACTCAGTGACAATATGAGGCTACTGGCTACCATACTGGGCAGCACGGAGAACATTCTATCATTATACAAAGTTCTATTTGATAGCAAATTGCAAGAGTAGTTTCCCCTGCCTACCTCCTGCTCTCCCTCTCTTGCCCTCTTTCTTGCCCTCTATCAGCTATGTGATATCTCCTGCCACGTTGGCAAGAAGACCCTCATCATAATGTACCCATTTGGAACTTAGGACTTCCGCCTTCAGAACCATAAGCCAATACATTTCTGTTCTCTATAAATGACCCAGTCCGTGGTATTCTGTTACTGCAGCATGAAATGCTAAGACAAAACCAGTACCAGAGAAGTGATCTGTTGCGATGACAAATACCTGAAAATACAGATGTGACTTTGGAACTAGGCAATAGGTAGAAGCTGGAAGAATTTAGAGAACACTAGAAAAAGTCAAGACTACCATAAATACAGCATTAAGGGCAATTCTGATGAAGGCTCAGAAAGACAGAGGAACTGTAGGGAAAGTCTGAAGCTTTTTAGCAATTGCTTAAGTAGTCATGATCAGAATGCTGGTAGAAATGGGGGCAATAAAGGAAATTCTGATTAGGTCTCAGATGGAAATGAACAAGTTACCGGAAACTAGAGTAAAAGCCATCCTTTTTATAAAGTGGTAAGGAACTTGGATGACTTATGTCCATGATCAAATCCTTTCTAAAAGGCAGAATTTAAGACAATAAACCAGAATATCTGGTGGAAGAAGTTGCTAAGCAGAATATTCAAAGAGCTGTGTAGCTTCTTCTGAATATAGTAAAATGAGAGAGGAAAGAAATAATTTAAAGATGTAATTTATAATTTAAAGAGAATAATGACAAGGATTTGAAAAATTCATAGCTTGGCTATGTAAAGAATTAAAAAGTGAGTTTAGGAAAACAAGTCAAGGATATGGTCAAATGACCATTTGCTAAAGAGATTAGTGTGGATAGAAGGTTATCAAAATAAATGCACTTCAAATATCTCTGAGGCATTTCAAGTATCTTTGAGACAAGCTAGAGCCTTAAAGACAAGGTTTCTAGATAGGTACACAGATGACCTCAGCATTCAATGCCTTAGCCACTTACGCATCTGTTTCCCGCCAATTCAACACTCATGGGTTGCTCCAGATATGGCTCCAGCAAGCACAGTTGTAGCTAGGGTTGCCATGCCTGAAGGTGCAAATTATTAAGTCTTGGTAGCATTCATGTGTACTAATTCTGCAGACACACAGGGTTCACAAGGTGTGGAGACAACCTCCATGCAGATTTCAAAGAATGTATAGGAAAGCCTGAGGGCCCAGGCAGCCTGCAGCAGGGATGGGGCTGCCACAGAAAGTCCTCACTAATGCAATACCTAATAGGGCTTCAGGAGCAGGACCTCTCCCAGGAACCCCCAACTATAGAGCTACCAGAGTAAAAGCCAGCCTGGGAGATCTGTGATGTGGAATATGTCTCAAAAAGCCCCAGGGACATGGCTGCCTAAGGCCTCGGGGCCCCAAACCTGTCCCAGTGTGTCCAGGAAGCAGAATATGGAGTCAAAGAAAATGGTTCCTGAGCCTTAAGATTTAATGTTGTTAGCCCTGCTAAATTTTGGACTTATTTGGAACCAGTTACCCCTTTCTTCTTGTTTATCAACTTTTAAATGAGATTGCCTAACCTATGCCTGCCTCACTACTGTATTTTTGAAGTAGATAACTTGTTTGATTCTATAGGCTCCCAGCTAGAAGGGAATTCTCCTCAAGATGAATCATGCTTTGAGTCTCATCTATATTTAATTTAGTTAAAACTCTGGACTTTAGGCTTTCAAGTTGGTGCTGGAATGAGTTGAAACTATTTAGGGATGAAGTGAATGTGTTTTGTATGTGCAAAAAACGTGAAATGAAGAATCCCATGGTTTTAACATTTGCCCCTCCAAAACTCATGGTAATATTTAATTGTCAGTGTAATGGTATTGGAAAATGGGACCATTAAGAGGTAGGTCATGAGGGTTTTGCCCTTATGAATGGACCAATTATTTTGAGAGTGTGTGCATTATCTTATGAGTGTGTTTGCCACCTCTTGCACACTCTCATATGTGATATTTCTCTCCCTGCCCTCCCCCCTTCCCCCTTCTCTCTCACCCTTCCACCATGTGATGTCTTCTGTCAAGTTATGATGTACCTAGAATGCCCTCACCAGATGTGGCTCATCAGCTGGACTTCCCAGTCTCCAGAACTATGAGCCAAAAAAATGCCTGTTCATTATAAACTATCTAGTCTGTGCTATTCTGTTATTTGTATTTGTTAGCAGCATAAAAGCAGACTAAAACATTCATCAAATTCAATAATTTAAAAACGGCGATTCTACAATCCCATTTATAATAGCTACAAAATTATCTTAAATAAATTTAACCAAGGAGCTTAAATATCTCTACAAGGAAAACTACAAAGCACGGCTAAAGGAAGGTGAAGATATAAACAAATGGAAAGACAACCCATACTCATGGACCAGAAGAATTAATCTTGTTAAAATAGTAATACTACCCAAAGCAACCACAGGTTCGATGAAATCCATATTAAGATACTAATGACATTCCTCACAAAAACGGGAAAACAAATCCTCAAATGTGTATGGGACAAAAAAAGACCCCAAATAGCTAAAACAACTCTGAGCAAAAATAGCAAAGCTGGAGGTTTCATATACTACCAGACTTCAAAGTATACTGCAAAGCTTTTGTAATGCAAAACCTCGTTAATGGCATAAAAACAGACATACAGGCCAATGGAACAAAATAGAGAAATTAACCCACACATAAATAGCCAACTCACTTTTGACAACAGTACCAAGAGTACTCATTGGGCAAAGGACACTCTCGTCAATAAATGGCACTAGGAAAACTGGATATCCAGATGCAAAAGCATTAAACTAGACCCCCATCTCTTACCCTATACAAAAGTCAACTCAAAATGGATCAAAGGCCTAAAAGGAACATCTGAAATGACAAAAATACTAGAAGAAAACATGAAATGATTCAGGAAATTGGTCTTAGAAAAGATTTGATGAAAAAGACCTCAAAAACAAGAAAAAAAAAAAAAGAAACAAATGGGGTTATATCAAACTAAAAACTTTCTGCAAGGCAAAAGAAATAATCACCAGAGTGAAAAGACAACATACAGAAGGAGAAAATATTTTCAAACTACTCATCTGACAGGGAATTAATGCCCAGAATATATAAAAACTGAAACATCTCAACAGCAAAAAAGAAAAAAAATCTAATTAAAAAATGGGAAAATTGGCTTGGTGCCTGTAGCTCAGTGGCTAGGGCACCAGCCACATACACCAGAGCTGGCAGGCTGGAACCCAGCCCAGGTCTGCCAAACAACAATGACAACTAAAACCAAAAAATATCCAGGCATTGTGGTGGGTGCCTGTAGTTCCAGCTACTTGGGAGGCTGAGGCAAGAGAATCACTTAAGCCCAACCAAGAGTTGGAGGCTGCTGTGAGCTGTGATGCCACAGCACTCTACTGAGGGTGACACAGTGAGACTGTGTCTCAAAAAAAAAAAAAAAAAAAAAGGGAACATTTCTCAAAAGAAGATATATACACAACTATAAGAGG